TCTGTTTGGGCCAGTGCCTCATACATTGCGTACTTGCTATTTGTTTCTCTCCTCCCAACCTACTCTCAGGAATACTTCAATACAGCCCTGGGTTCTTATTATGACTATTACTAGCTGCAAGATCTTATAATATTTTCATTATTAGTGAAATTTCTTCTTCCTCACAGGCTACCTGTTTTCAGTGCTGTGTGCCTGAGCTGATCGGCATGGTGTTTAAATGAGACAACTGTTATGACTAGCATTCACCATTTTCAGTTCATTTCCTTATTATACATAATTCTTAGAGGTAGGACCTCCTTACACACTCATTTACCTTGTAATATCATGCTGGTTTTTAACTTACTTTGAATTTAATGGAGATGAACCATAACCAGAAAGAATGGGAAATTTCCCACTTTTAAGTGTGTATAGGAGAGAGTAGTTTTCTATGTAGAAAATACTGACTTATTATTTAACTTAAATACAAGCACTAGCTATGGTACTCCTGTATTAGCCTGCTTCTCTTTCTATGGTTTTAGTTATCTTGAGTCAACTGGGGTCCAGAAATGTTAAATGGAAAATTCTAGAAAGAAATAATATATTTAAAATTATATACTATTCTGAATAGCATGGCACAATTTTGTACAAATAAGTCCTCCAAAGGACATGACCCAACTTTTCATCCAGTGTATCCATGCTGTATACACTACTTGCTCATTAGTTACTTACACATCTTAATTATCAGAATGGTGGTTATGGTGTCACAGTGCTTGTGTTCAGGTAAGCTTTATTTTGGTATATGCATCTATATTATATATCATATTGTATTAGTCAGGGTTCTCTAAAGGAAGAGAAATTATAAGTAAAATAAAATATGTATGTGAATGCGCGCGCGCGCACACACACACACACACACACACACACACACACACACACACGTGGATATATTAGAATGGCTTACAGGCTGTGGTCTAGCTAGTCCAGCAATGGCTGTTTATCACAAGAAGGTCCAAGAATCCAGAAGTTGTTCAATCCATGAGGCTGGATACCTCAAAAGGTCTTCAGTATATCCCAGAGTCCCAGTGAAGTAGGCTGTAATCCCAATGAAGGAACAGATTTACTAGCAAGACCAAAAGAGAGAGAGAGAGAGAGAAAGAGAGAGAGAGAGAGAGAGAGAGAGAGAGAGAGAGAGAGAGAGAGAG